ATTAGAAGATGAGCGGTTACGTGAGCCACCCTCTACAAGCTGTTCATTGGGGTTTCTCGTGAGAGTCCCTCAACGAAATTGCGCCAATAGCCGCGCTACCATAGTTGCGGTACGTTAGAAGCGTTAGATTCCTATAGTTGTGTATTGAGTCTCCATGCACAACTATAGGAACCTAGGTAACGCTTCTAACGTACCGCAACTATAGGAGCGTTTCCCCTAATTGTTTCAGCTTTGTCTCAAGATTTAAATATTCCTCGAAGTAAGTGGAGGTTTTGTGTCTACGAAAAGCTTTGAAAGCATAAGATTTTTCTAAATACAATTTTGTGCATTCTTCGTCCCATGTAGGTGTGGTTGGTCTACTTTTGAAGAGTGCACTTTGAACTTTTCTTTTTTGTGCTTCCAGTGAGCTTTTGTAAATCAAATCGGTAAGGAATCGATATTTATCTAACGGTGGAAGTGTATCTATCGATTCGACACCGATTGTCACCGCTGTTGCATATTTCTACCAGTCGATAGATCAAATGGAACTCGAGATAGTTCTGCAGAGTGAGGGCCACACTTAATTAAAATAAAGATTGGCAAATGATCACTACCATGGGAATCATTGATAACCTTCCACAGACAGTCCAATGATAACGATCTTGAACACAAAGCTAGGTCCAGTCAGATTTCTCGAGCCGGAGGTTTTGCTATACGTATCGTTTCACCAGTTTTCAAAATAGTCAAATTGAAATCGTCACATAAATCGTAAAAAATTGCCACTCTTTTCATCGTATATATTGTGTGTGTGTGTGTGTGTGTGTACAATCTAACCCCCACTGTCCGGCAGTGTTATTATGGAAGAAAACTGCTTTTTATTACCCTTCAATTAAAGCAGGTTTAGTCCGGGAGTTAGAAGGTGTTAGCTCTATTGCAGCTCCAGTGACCCATTTCAGAATGCCTGGTAATTCACGACCACTCCGAGGTCACTTTTACTTACAATAAGCCCCGCATGTTCACTCTACCTTTATCAAATGGATAATGGTATCATAAACACACTTCCAGATTCAAAAAATATTATTTCCAAATCTGGCACGTATATAGTTTTGAAATTTGTTTAACTGTAATAAAACGATTTGAATGGACATTTCTTACCAATTTTGTTTCGAATACTGCTTCATCTGCTGACAGCACTTACTGGACCTTACCGGCGACCAACTCGTCTGCCCGGAAAATCAACAACGCCTAAATCTCAAGGCTCTCTGGACGTCCCCTCGAAAATGCAATCGAGATATGTATAAGAACATGCCCGTCGTCTTCAAACGGCAAAAAAAGGGAACTCGGTGAGCAATTTTGTGATACGGAATTTTCACTGAACATGAACCGCGAATTTACGAATTTCACCACTCCCAACTGCGAAACACGTCCAGAAGCACTTTTGGAACACTTTCGATCAATTTCTTTCGAACACACAAAAAAAAGTTTCAAGCAGCGAGCCAACATCAACACCGATTGTGCCGAACTCTTTCACGCACCTTGCAGCGCGTAAATAAACTGAAATTAAAAATTTTCACTCGCGATGCCACTAATTTCTGGTCCGGGAGAAAATCAAATAACGCAGATTGCGACATTTCTTCTGATGCTTGCAAACATGTTGAATCACGTTTTCTTTCTCTATTCTAAAACTTCCCGGAAAGCGAGAAAACTACCAATCACACACGTATAAACGTCCGGGAGGCAGAGCGCCAGCGCTAATCCGGCAAATGCAGCCGTAAACTATGAACGCGAACGCACCACAAAACAGAGAACAAACAACCGTATCCAACAGCGTTCCAATTTAGCAGAAACTAACATTTCAGACTAAAATCCACTTCACGAAAACTAAACTGGGGATTGTTCTTCATTAGAAGCACTTCAGAACGGGGAATCACGAGAAAAAATCTTGACAGCAAAAATAAAGACGACCGTTCGCCGGCATAGCCTACTTCGTTCATAAAGTGGAGTAAAAATTTAATTGATACAAAAATCAATACTTTATGTTTAAATCCGAAAAGCCGAAAACCTATTTTGAGACCGAAAAGGCATGTTTTAGTGAAAAACATTATCTCCTACTACTTTCCTGTCCTGTCCTGTCTAAAAATATGAAATGAATACTCACCAGAATCGTGCACTGCATGCTCATTCTTGGTAGGTTAGCAACATTACGCACTAGGGGATGTCATCCAGTAAGCACTCCTCACAGCCCTCACTTAACAGTTATATTCATGAAACATCAACACTCCGATTGTCACCTCAGAACTCTCCAACCGGCTCTTCAACATCCTCATCAATGATGAAGTCCGGCTCTTCATCAACCATCTCCTCCTCCTCCTCCTCCTCCTCCTCCTGCTCCAGATGCTCTTCCTCGCCCATCTCTTCTATCGGTGGCACTCTTTTCATCGTATATATTGCACCAATAATTGACCCATAACAATCGTGCGGATGTGTCCATATTTAGGTTGAAACGCTCAATAAAAAAATGTGGAACCATAAATAGGTAAAAATGCACCAGTAACATTAAATAAGGGAAATGATCAATAAAAAGAAAATATTTTATCTTTAGAGTTATGATTTTTTTTCCTTTGGTTTGTTTTTTCCGTGGATCTTGTTTTCCGTGCTGAGCACCAATGCTACCGACGTGCCAGGAAGGCAGCTCCCACATCTGGACCCTACCTATCGACCCATCAACTCATGAACCGGGGACCAACGGCTTTACTTCCCTTCCGAAGGAAGGCGTGATCAGAGATGTTATGCCTCAGAACATCCCGGCGGCGCCGACTGGGATTGAACCCAGGCCTGCTGGGGTGAGAGGTAATCACGCTTACCACTACACCACCGGCGCCGTTAGAGTTAAGATATATTCCCTAAAAATATTGAAATGTTCCTAAAATATATGAAATGAGCGAATAAAAAATATGGAATATTCCATAAACATCTGCGATTTCTATGAGTTATTTCAACTTTTTAAGGAATATTTCGTATTTTTGGGGAACATTTCATATTGTTTCGGGAACATTAGAAGCTTTTTATTTTAGAAGCTTCTATTGAACGCTTTCCCGTTGCTCTGCTCCTTTAATTATGAAAAACATGAGCAGAGCAGTAAATCCACACTACAAGAAAAATATAATAGGGTTAACTACCCTATTTCCGGCCTATCAAGCACAATCCCCACTTCGTCTTTCTTAATCTAGCACAGTTTAGCACCAAACGGAATGTTATTGTTACTGATGACTTCCAAATTCATTTAACTTTCCGTACGTACCGTAAGATTTGATAAAGAGAAACCAATCGTTGAGATATTGTCAAAAGTCGAACACTTTTTCTTGACGCCAAACTCGGTCTACGGATTCTAAACTCGGCCTAACGCATTGAAACGCCATTGAAACGCCATTGAAACGCCAATCAATTCACTTCGGCCTATCGGATGAAGATAAAAATTGATTCGGTCGGAGTGCTTCATTTGTTTTTGGGAATAATGGGTGCAAACCTTCATATCACGCGTTCTCAGTGACTTCGTTCCGTAGCTTATAAACTAAAGTATCGTACGAAACGCATAATTGACTTGTTAACTCTGAAATCATGGATTTATTTGAAGTTTTCTGCTCGATAGGCCCAAAATGGGAGATTAGGCCGAAGTAGTTCTCTACCCTATGTTTCCAAACAATTATGAAATGCGTCATCATCGGGTATGGGAAACTCTTCCCTTTTCGATAGTGGTATTGGTTTGCGTGGGCATTCTTCCGTTTTGCGTGGAATGGGCGTAATATATATTTTTAGTAGCACATTTCAATTTTATTTTTTAACTCATTTCATATTTTTTGGGGAACGTTTAATCCTTTTTAGATGCTTGCCCGTTGCTTCGCTCGTCTAGCTTAACAAAAAAGGGCAGGACAGTAAATCTACACTTTAAGGAAAGATGAAATGCTCTCTAAAAATTGCTGAAGTTGGCACATTTTATGTGTTTTAAAGATCATTACAGTATTTCTAGGGAACATTTTATAACATTTTTTGGGGATGATTAATCTTTTTTATTATTTATCTCTCTTGGTTTAAGGAGAATATTTTTAGATTTATTGGTGCAATTTTAATTATTTATTGTGCCTTCACATGTTTTTATTGATCATTTCTTTTATGTAATGCATTGGTACATCTGCCATTTTTTACGAGGTAGATTTTGAAGTTTTATTTAACTTCATGATTAAAAAATGACCATAAAACATTTTTCCGGTTTATGTGTCGTACACAAACTTTACATCTTCTTGTTGCATTTTACAAATTCAAATTATCATTTTAATGTCTCATTGTTTCATAATTCCGAAAAAAAAATGTATTTTAGCTGAAACGAGCCTTTGCAAGTTTGTGGATAACCATGATTGGTGCATCTTCCATGCAAAGTAGGTGGTAAGAGACTAATTATGTTCAAAATGGACTAATTTGTGATTTTAACCATAAAACAAATTATTATGGTGATAAACTTGCCCAGAAGTGGCTAAAAATCATCCATAAGAAAGCTATAAAAACATAAGGCAAATTCAAAGGACTACGATAAGACCTACGAGGTCTAGAAGTACATAATTTGGTGTGAATTATATCCACTGTATATAGAAGGGGTAAGTGAGCCAGTTATGGAACTACCACTTCAGTTTTGGGCTTTAGGGTCTAACTTAAATTTGGCATACAATTCGCGTAGGCATATGACAAAATGTGTATTCAACCCTTGCATGAATAAATTAGGTAAAGAATGAAAAATATTGAAAATTAAGGTAGGGCCAATTAGGGAACCTTTTGAGCCAAAAACTGACTTACTTACCCTGTACCAAACAATGCGCAAACTGTGCCGTAAACGAATAGGCTTTAAGGTTTAAAAACCGATAATGCATTACCATAATAAATAAACAATACACACCTTTTCATCTTCCACAAATGATAACCTTTATGGATTTATTGTCAAGTATGTGCTTCAAGCACCATTCAACAAAAAAAAACTCTTATTCTAATGGAACGATGCTTCATTGAAATTCTAGGGCAAATTGAAATGCATTCAAACTTATCAGTCTAACTCTAGCTTTCGGAATGAGCCGACCGTTCCAAAAAGATCCTTTTCCTCAGCGATTGGATTCGTCGTTCTGCGTTTGCTTTCGTCAACGCCTAGACTCTGGTCTTGGATCAAATATTCTCGATTGTCAATTAGTTTTTGTTCCCAATCGTCCACAAACTGCTGCACAGGACCCAAATCTCCACCGTATTCTGCTGGCAGAATTGATTTTGGGAAATATTTATGTAACGATTCCAAACTGGATCCATGGGAAATTATCTGAAATTAGAAAGTGCCAAATCTATCAATATTGGCAACCACCTAGTAGTGCGCTCAGTCAATTTCTATAGACGGCAGATAAGAGCTGATAACAAATTTAACGCTCGCACATGCTGCGTAAGCGTGACGCGTATCGATTACCACAGAAGCGTCTGTTCTATTTTTCATCTTGTTATCATCAAACCATATGTGTAAATAGCGAAATTTATGGGTTCTACCGTCTGGCACGTGTACAGAGCATGTATTCATACCGTTTTATCACGATTCTTTTCCGTCATTAGACCTTTGAACACGTTTATCACGATATCAAATCCTCTAGGAGTGTTTATAAAGTGGAAGCCTTTCTGCCGCAAAGGACTTCCTTGTTGGTTTAGGATGGCTGCCTTCTTCAAAAATGATAAGTTGAAGTTGAAAAAGTGCCCGCTCGATGAATTTCCAAGATCAACTATAGCCGTTTCACCACAGATCAACATTTGATCATCATCTCGAAACTGAATATCGCCTATCATTGTAAATACTTTCAGAATATCCGGAAAGTCACAAACATCTCCATTGAATGCATTGCCCCGAATGAGCATAATTTTTGGATCATCTGAGTTCACTGTCTTTGGTAATGGTACAGATACACTGGAAATGTTAAGGTAATTTACTACATAATCGAGACATCAAAAATAAATCCTTTATACCCCATTTTGATAACCTGTCGAACGAATGGATCCAGTGGATCTCTATTGGCCATGACTTCCGGTAGTACTGATCGAATTGAGTAGTAAATGTCCATCTTTTCCTTTACCCGTTGAATACTATGCTTGCAAGCTCGTAGAAAACCCACCAGAAATTGATCGTCTGTCCTACCTCGGATGTGTTGCGATTGTTTCATCCAGGTGCGAATGGCTTCCAATTCACCGGCGATAAGATTTTCATTTTCATTTAATTCTGCTTTGGCTTTCTTACGAAGGATATCCGATATTGGGCGAATGTTGAGATCTGCCTAAAATAAACACATTAAAAATTATGACAGATGCTCTCAGTGAAACGAAACTTAGTCACTTACCATTATTGCGATAGACAATCACAGGATATCCGGGCGGCTCGGCTACCAAAGCAGAAATGATACAGAGCTCCAAGAAGCAAAAAATATTCACAGATGGAAGGGATGTTATCATCATTCGCTGATATCAACGTTGGGTTTTACGTACCTCTTCCAATGGAAGTTTGCTAAAGTTGTCTGCTTTCCACGTGCGTTTATATAGATTAGATATCACCTGTGATGCTGAGGGTTGTTAACATCACCTTATCTTGTTCAACGAAAGAACATATTAAATCATGAATCATACCAACATTGCCTTTTGATATGCAATACGGCAATACTTAACTAATGTAGCTTCTACTGTAGGAATACCCATAGTAGACATGATTTGCTACCGTGTTACCTGGCTCATATCAAATATACGTTGTATCCGTGGGTCCGGTATAGCTAGTTTTATTTAACAGTGGAACGAACCTAACAAGGGCAATGTCTTCGAAGAAGTTTATTGGACTAAAATAATCTATCTTTTCGTTCAATTAGGGTGATGATGTATCCACTAGACTGATGCAAAATTTGAAATTTTCGCTCCACAGTGTTCAAACGGTTTCAAATCGGGTCCTGATTAGCCTCCGAAAGTTTAAACTCATTTGATAAGAAACTGGCTTGGCACAAACCATTCGAAGTTTATATGGAAATTACTATGGGAAAACAAAACTTTTTGTTCATTGTCTTTTAGCCTTTCTACATATTGTACTGTTAACAAATTCTATTGCTATTCCAATGGGAATTTTTGTCAGCTACAACTTTGCACAACATCGTTTTTCAGCCAAACGTCAATTTAAATAGTTATTAATTGTTAAAGAGATTGATAATCTTATGGCAAGATTAAGCAACTGTATTGTGGGCAACACTGTATTCTGCAGTGTGACATTGTAGGCATGATTTTTGTCCTCTATTCTACGCGCCTTAAACACCAATGTTGCCTGCTGAACAGTTGATTGAGCATAATGATAAGACATTAGTAACTTTAATCATTAATAATTTTTGATCGAAAAGTGGTCTTCAACAAAGTTGTAGCTGAGAAAATTTCCAATAAGTTCAGCTATTATTTTTTAAAGTAGAGTGAACTGGTGAATTTAGAAATATATATGAATCGAAATTATGGTTTTTTCATAGTAATTCCCATATAAACTTCAAATGGTTTGTGCCAAGTCAGTTTCTCACTAAATGAGTTCAAATGTTGGGAGGATAATCAGGGCCCAATTTGGAACCGTTTGAGCACTGTGGAGCGAAAATTTCATATTTTGCATCAGTCTAGTATCCACGTATTAGGGTGATACAAGTTTTACTTTTTTCTTTAATATTTATAGAATGAGTTAGTCAGTGTTCACTCGGCTGTCGACAAAAGTAGGCCACTCTCGATGTGTGCTACGCGATCGTCTGTTTTCTCGGCAGCAACCATTGTGTGGTCTTCCTCATTGTTCTTCATCAGCAGTTCTTTCGGTCGATGCGTCGTCGACTTTGGAAAGCAACCGTTTCGTGATGAGTGTGTGAGTGCTGACCACGTTTTGCGTCCATTGTTGCAATGGACGCGCTCTGACCCTCGTTGGCATACAACAATTTGCCATACAATGAAACTACTGGAAGCGGCTCCAGTTCTGATGGAGGAGGCTTTTTGGATAGCGGAAGATAAAGTGTTTATTGTGTTGTACCTTTTGACTATAGTTTTAAGATGTATTGTAAAGTGACCAAGAATCCTCGGCTCTGTAAATTTAATTCGGTTGAGCCTTATCAAATAAATTAATAAACAAAAAAAAAAATAAAAAAAAAAAAAAAAGAATGAGTTAGTGTCTTTACAAAAAAATGTAGATCACATTAAAACAAGCAATTTTGCCCATAACAGCAATTTCGCATCGCTCAACGTTGACGAGATATAATGCATTGATTGTGAAAAGCCATTAAAACAGTTTTTTTTCAATATCTCTTAATACAATAATTTTATTGCTTTAAAATGTTCTACAAAGTTTATTAATGCATCAAAGTTCACATTTTTATCGAACATTGTGTATCGCTATGATGCATATTTGAAAAGTAATTAAAGATTTTTATTAAAATTTAGAAACTTTTCCAATAAGTACATCTTGAACTGAGGATAGTTGTGGCAAATCATTCACTTTCACTGGAAAATACTAACTTTTGGCAACAATTTGCAGAACACTTTATTAGGAGATTTTCGGAGGAACATTGCAATAGGAGTTTTACCAAATGTCATCATTGGCAATTGAAAACCTCCACCGCTTATTAAAATATGATTAACAAAGTTCATAATATATTTTTAATCATTGACATTTCCAAATTAAAGATTAATCCCTCATTTTCGTGAAGCGTGATTATATTATATATCCGCGCTTCATCCAAGAATTCTTAAAATTGCATGGACATAGATACCATGTTGCGTTTGCATGTGTGTGTGATATCGACAAAGAGTAAAACACTGAACCAGGTTGCTTAAGAAGTATGCTTTGCTTTTGTCTGTCAGTGTCTCGACAGACAGTAAATAAAGATGTTTTCAAGTTTGTTTTATCGACCCTACGCTTTTTCATGTATCATATCGCTTAGACGTGCAAAATGGCAAGCTAGAGGAGCCAAACACCCAAAAATAATGCAAAGGAAAAAGGGTTTTCGGGAACGATTCCGAATTGCAATGGGTCTAAATGTTGACAAACCTCGTTCGGGTGGAGCCGGAACGTCTAACGACGGCAATAGTGCGCGTCGTTTCTTCCAGAATTGGGAAAAGACAGTGTCAATTACAGGTATAGATAGTTCACTATCATACAGATGCAAATCAATCGGGATAAGAGATCGCCTCTACCAAGTTTGAAGACTATTGCTATGAAACAGATTGATTGACAACTATCCGTGGTATTCCCTACCAGTATCTGTTCATAACATTTTTCTGCATGGATCACAAATAATATCGTCGTTTCATGTTTCGATCTGACAATTGTCCCAGGAGTGTCGAAACAAAGACATCAAGCGCTACAATATCATACTCGTAAATTTTCCAGAACCGCAACGAACACAAATCTCTTGAATCGGTTCCTGGAATCATCCGACCGTCTCATTTCAAGTCTACGAGCACCCTGATAAAAATAGTTTGCCATTATCCGCTGATGCCAAAGCTCTTCTTATTGAATCAACTGAGTTCAGCTCTGATCATAGCGACATTTCCATGGTTAATTTACTAGCCAACATTTTGACGTAGGACTACGTCTTAAATTTCTATACTGGAGGACACATTAAAAAAAATCGAAATTAAAATATGTGACGAAAATTCCAAACACGGACGCAACGATAGAGCGCAAATCGAACAAACGACACATTGCGCATGCTCACATGAGCGAGTTCAATGATCGGTTGATCGCTCACCATTTCACCAATGAAAGGAAGAGAGGAGAAAAGCAGCGATAATAAAAACGCTTACCAAATCATTTTCTTCGTTGCCATGGCGTTGTTGGACATTGAAAAAGCGTTCGACAATGTCTGGCATAATGGCCTGGTGTTCAAATTGCAGCACTACGGTCTTCCAATCTTCCTAGTGAAGACAATTAACAACTATCTATCGAACAGGACGTTCCGAGTCTCTCTGAATGGCATCACATCGGATGCTTTCAACATCGGAACTGGGGTTCCACATGGAAGCATCCTTGGCCCCATTCTATTCAACCTGTTCACCTCCGATATGCATGTCGAAGCATCTTGATATTTTTTTCGAGTGATTTGTATTTTTTTCTTGGAGTTTAAAAATACAAAAAAATCAAGTCCCAGTAATGTGAGACAAACCTGAGAAAAAAAATTAATGAATTACCGATTACACAAATTAAAAAAGTAAATTAAACATAGTAAAGCTCGATTCAAAGTAAATCTGGACGCACGGTTTAATACACCACCGCGCCCCTGGTGGTTGAAACAAAAAACGTTTGACAGGAATTTGTTAATGTTTCATTGACGAAGAAATTGGTGAAAAGTTTTTCTCGATTGATCGACGCATGCCGAAATTACGGAACATGGAACTTGAGAAAAGAAAATGAATTGTGCACAAACATCTAGAGAACCCTTCGTGGTCTGCCTCAAAAATAACAAAAGTGTGAAAATTCCCAAAGTCAACGGTGAGTTTTGTAATCAAACGTTAGAAGGATACTCTGAGTGTGGATAGAGCACAGCGCATCTATCATAAAAGTGGCACTAGGAACAAAGAGCTGAGGAGAAAGGTGTTGATGTACGTGAAAAGCAACCCAGGTGTCTCCATACGTTATTTGGCAAAGAAATACGATTCCAACTTTTCCACCGTGCGTAATATCCTTTCAAGAGAAGGATATAAATCTTTTTGTGCCAGTAAACATCCGAGTCGCTCCCTGAAACAAAATTCAGTGGCCAAAAAGCGAGCTTGATTACAATACGAACGAGTTTTGACGATATTTGATGGCTGTATTTTAATGGATGACGAAACATATGTCAAAATGGATTATAAACAAATTTCCGGACGAAAATTTTACCTGTCAACTGGTCGTGGGGATATCCCTAAAGGTATAAATTTGTTTTTGCTGATAAGTTTGCTCGAAAACTAATGATTTAGCAAGGAATCTGCAGTTGTGGCCTTAAAACCAAGGTTTTCATCACATCTCACACAATGACGTCGAAGGTTTACGTTAAAGAGTGTCTGAAAAAGAGGAACACAAGATCAACGTTATGTTTTGGCCGGATCTAGCCAGCTATCACTACTCTAAGGCGGTACTAGAATGGTATGCTGCAAGCAATGTTAATTTCGTCACGAAAGAGATTAATCCTCCGAATTGCCCTGAGTTCAGACCGATCGAAAAATATTGGCAATTGTCAATCGAAAACTTTGAGGATGCGATAAATAAGTGACAAATGCACAACAAATGCGTTTAAAGTGGAGTAAGTTGGCCAGTACAGTGTCACCAGCGACTGTGTAGATCATGATGGTATCGATCACAAGTAAAGTGCGACAGTTCGTTCAAAACGGTGAAATGTAATTACTTGTTATATATCATTTGAAAGCTGAATAAATAC